CATATACACGCATGTATATACACATATACACATGCATATATACATATACACGCATGTATATACACATATACACATGCATATATACATATACACATATGCATATATACATATACACACACATATGCATATATACACACATGCATATATACATATATACATACACATATGTATATATACATACACATATATAATACATATGTATATATACATACACATATATAATACATATGTGTTACATTGACTTGTCAATGTATATGTTTTATCATAAAAAATAAAGGCTCAATAATGTAGAACTTCTCTACTTTTAGTTGTGCTTTGTGGATGTTAAGCATTAAAATAGAGCTGTATTTCTAAAAAAATCCTGAAAAGTTAAAAAAATACTGTTATTCACTTTGTTTTCCTTGTCCTTCTCCATTATTATCCATATGCTTCACAACAGTTCTCCTATTGCAAAAAAAACACAACCTGTATATTATATGTAGTGCATTGATTTTGAAACTGTGAAAGTCAGAGTCCTAGAATTAGCTGACAATCTCCTTTTCCAGTTTATCTTTCCTTCTCCACAAAAAGGCTTGATAATGGAGAGGGAAGTTGAGTTTTCAGGTCAATAATGAGAAAGAAATTTTGGAACAAGCAAGACAATGCAAGTCACCCTTATTTCCATTTCTCTTAGGATAAGCATGAGCTATTTTCATGTACTTTCCCATATCCTTTTAGTCAGGAGGATCCCAAGATTATTCCTTAACCATCTTCTCCATGCAGATTCTTTTTCAGATGTTACTTACATGGGCACAGATACAAAAAGGCAGAAAAAAAAGAAGATAGTTTCGTTTCCTGATACAAACATAGCATAGCTTCCTGAGTTGAAGGGTCCTGTCTGACCCTTAAAAATCTACTTTTCTTTGTAATTATCAAGAATCTTTTTCTTTTTTCTTCTCTTTTTTAAGAGACAGATTCTTTCTTTGTTGCCTAGGCTGGAGTGCAGTGGTGTGAATCATAGCTCACTGCAGCCTTGAACTCCTGGGCTGAAAGGATCCCCCTGCCTCAGCCTTCTGAGTAGCTGGGACTACAGGTATGCACCACCACACCTGGTGAATTTTTAAATTTTTTTGTAGAGACAAAGTCTTGCTACATTGCTCAGGCTGATCTCCAACTCGTCGGCTCAAATGATCCTCCCACCTTGGCCTCCCCAAATGCTGGGGATTATAGGCATGAGCCACAGCACCTGGCCAAGAATCTGTAAAGGTAAGATGAATGATGAAAGAAAGCCTTAATTCTTCATTTTCCATCTCTTTCTCCATCGCATGAATCAGTCAGTGGAGAAATAAGGGACCTTAGCATCGGATTTTCACAACCTAAATCAGGGAGGGTAATTGAGGCATTTAAGGAAGATAAACAAGCATAGGGATTTTTTATATGTTACAAAAGAAATCAAAATTATAAGAGCACAAAAATGAAAAAAAAAAAGAATCAGTGATTTCTACTATAATCATCAAGCTTCTATAAAAAGTGGGGGCAATAGTGGTTCTTCTTTCTTAGAATTATAAACCAGGTGCAACTTCATATGCATACCACATGGTCCTAATTAGGAAAACAGGATTGAAAGCATCAACATCTTCGCTACTGTAGCATGTGTGGCAATGATTCTCAACTCTACAGGGTGAAGGACAGCATATCAGCAATGCATTGGCAGCCCACCATGAGCAACTCTGATAATGTGCTACTAATCTATTTTGTATATGTGGAAAATGTCACTGTGTAGCTTTTCTTAAAGGTGAATATCTCCCTGTCTTTTGCTCACCCACCATCTACCAATCGTTAACTAATGACTAAGTCTTTATTAACTTTTCTTGAACCAACTTGCTTTCTCCATTCCCACTTCTTCCACATTCATTAAAGCAACTGTCTTTTCTTGCTTAGATGACTGCAATAAACAACTAATTGAGCTCCCTGCCTCCAGTGTTGTACTCCCCCAATTATTTGCCTATACTCATCTTTCAATAGAAATCTGATATAGAAATCTGAAATAGAAATCTGATCGTGTCATTCCCTGCTCGACACCTCGTAAAGGTTTCTCAGTGGTCTCTGGGTAAGTCCAGACTCCTTGGCATGGTATACAAAGCCCTTTATGTCAACCTCAGCTCTCACAACTGCATCTCCTCTCCCAGCAGACCGCACTGTTGCCATTCTCTGGCCATGTTGAATTAACTTCCAGTTTTATCTGGCCTCCAGACCTTTGCCTAGAGGTTACTCCATCTATCTCTGAATGTCCCCTTTCCTCTTCATCTGATTAATTCCTCCATGTCTTCAGAAGCCATCTCTCCTATGAAACTGTCTCTGACCTGCAATATTGGGTTTAGGGTCCTAAATTTTTACCTCTAACTAGTTCTAAAACATTTTCACCACCCCAAAAAGAAACTTCATACTTATTAAGCAGTAACTCCCCATTTCTCCATTCCCCCACTACTTACACCTGACAAAGCTCTCAATACTCTATGGAAGTCTATTTTCTTGTCTGTCTCTCCCACTAGACTATAGCTCTTTGAAGACAGGGAACATACCTTGTTGGGTTCCCCACACCTAAGAAGAGAGCCTGGGATGTAATAGTCACAGTTGACCATTAGTGTTAAAGAGGTGAGTACAGAAGTGAGTGGGTTAAAAAGGGGGGTGGGGGGAGAAATTTTAAACATCTTTAAATGTCTTTACTAAAAGGTTAGAATGATTTCAGAGGGAAATTACAATTTTGAAGGGAAAGGAAAAGACATTGAAATTACAGGTTTCAGAAGAAGAGCTTCCTTTGACTCCAGCTTTGGCTCTTCTGCCTTAGTATCCCCAGTCTGCCCCCAAGCACCCTTATATGCATTCCTCAGGAAAAGGGGTGTTGTTCTCAGTCTCTTCCTCTTCCCTCTGTGCCTCAAACTAGGCAGCTTCCAGTGGTGCCCTGGGCTTCAGAAGGTGGCCACTGAGCTGACCTCTAGGTTTGCAGGCTTCTTGGGAGAGCAGGTAGTGGAGGTGGGTATGGGGGGTGGTGACTGGGCTCCAGTTTGAATTTCATCTTTATGATTCCCTCTCACTATGGGGAGCATTACGGCATGAATCCCAAGGACAAATTTTAATTTGGGACCGTCTAAACCCTTATTAAAGTCATACTGTTTTCTCAATCATCAAGAAAACTGCCTTTCTCTATAGTCCATAAGTCCTCAATTTTGTGGGGAGGAATTTATTTTTTATTATTATTTATTTATTTATTTATTTTTTTGAGAGAGTCTCACTCTGTTGCCCAGGCTGGAGTGGAGTCGTACGATCTCACTGCAACCTCCACCTCCCAGGTTCCAGTGATTCTCGTGTCTCAGCCTCCCAAGTAGCTGGGATTACAGACACAGGCCACCATGCCCGGCTAATAATTGTATTATCAGTAGAGACAGGGCTTCACCATATTGCCCAGGCTGGTCTCAAACTCCTGGCCTCAAGTGATCCCCCACCTCGCCCTCCCAAAGCACTGACATTACAGGCATGAGCCACCGCACCCAGCTAAGAAGGAATTTTTTGGATCTCCTTCCACCTTTGCTGAAATTCTAAAAAAGCTGCATTCCACTTTTAGCAGCTGTTTTCTTATGGCTGAATAAATGCCAGAGATGCCATCAGATTATTTTAATTCAATTGTCTCTCAGTTGAGGAGGGCTAAACTGTCAGTTTCCTCTTGGCACAATGCAAGTAGAAAGATAAGTGATAAGCGGTCTGGTGCAGTGGATCATGCCTATAATCCCAGCACTTTGGGAAGCCTAGGTGGGTGGATCACCTGAGGCTAGGAGTTCGAGATCACCCTGGCCAACATACAGAAACCCCATCTCTACTAAAAATACAAAAATTAGCCAGGTGTGATGGTGTGTGCCTGTAATCCCAGCTACTCAGGAAGTTGAAGAAGGAGAATCAGTTGAACCTGGGAGACGGAGGTTGCGGTGAGCCAAGATCACGCCACTGCACTCCAGCCTGGGAGACAGAGTGGGAGACTCCATCTCAAAAAGAAGGAAGGAAGGAAGGAAGGAAGGAAGGAAGGAAGGAAGGAAGGAAGTAAGTCACCTGAATTTCTCGTCGGCACTTCAGGATCATGATCTCTAACGCTCATCTTCCCTCTGTCATACTTAGGGTTGGGGTCCAGCCCCAGCTGAGGTCTGAGGACAGTGGGTGGATGTGGGGCAGGGAACTGGAAGAACACTCAAGAGACAGCAGGTAAATGAGACATGGCTTTGTTCAGCAGCCCCTTCACAGGGTCTGTGTTACATTTATACACTACACAAACATTAGTGGCTGAGAGCCAGGTGGGGAGCTTCTTTATGTTGTGTCTACATGGCTATGATTGTATAAGACATGGGGCTGTGTACTTGCACCCCAATCCCGCTGAATCATCGAGGCTGTTTACCTCGGCCTGTACCTGCTTCTCTATGCGTGCTTGGTGACAGCACAACCATGTTCCTTACACTCTCCAAACCTGTCCCACTCTCTGCATTCTTTATGGGATGAATTGGCATTGATTTAATAGCTGGCTCAAACCTGATCCCATTTCCCCCACTCCCTCTCCCCTCACACACAGACCTGTCACAAGCCTGCCCAGCCCTTCTCAGCAAGCCTCACATCCATTTCCTACCTTAATTACTAATGCTCTCACTCAGGCAGGTTATGGGAATCTCCTAACTGTATTATCTGCTTCCAGGCTGGGGCACTCCCACAGGTAAAGCTGATAATAGTACTGCCTGTGTACAGCCCTTTCTGCAGGCCACAGAAGGCCCTGCAGAAGAAAATTCAGTCCTCCTCAATGCATTGCAAGACTCTCCTGCAACTGGCCTCTATTTATCTCTAAACCTGCACTGTTCAATATGGTAGCCACTAACTGTTGAAGCTATTTAAATTTAAATTAGCTAGAATTAAATGAAAGTTAAGATTCAATTCTTCAATTGTACTAGCCAAATGTGGCTAGTGGCTACCGTATTGGACCGTGACGATATAGAACATTACCATCATTGTAGAAAGTTCTGTTGGATACTTACCTTACCCCTACTGCATCTGAACTCAAACTTTCAAATGACCTACAACTTTGAGCATATGGTGCTTTAGCTGAGGCAACCTCCTTTAATTGGATTACTTACCTTGCCAATTATGCCCTTCAAAACACAGATCAAATGTCATCCTATTCAGAGAAACCTTTCCAACCAGGCCTCCTATTCTTGTGCAAGTGATCACTTCCTCATTTGGACGCCCATTGCACTCTCTGCAGACTTCTACCAGAGCGCCCCTAACACTCCATGTCATCTAGTGTTGATATCTGTTTCCCTTTACTACAATATGAGCCTGGGCTGGGGGCAGGAACCCAATCTTATTCATTTTTCTAGCCCCAGCTCTATAGTAATGCCTGACATATAGGATATGCTAAGAACTATTTTTGGGAATGAATAAATATTACCAATAAATATTCTAAGGTCAAAATTTTATCAGATTTCAGAAACAAGAGAATGTCCCAATTCAAATGCCTCACTGACAGGTAAAAACCTTGAAAAAGAAATATATTTTCAGTCAAATCAACAAAATACTGGATATGCTCTTTTAAATCACAATCTCATGCTAGAGTTGTGTTCCACTTACAACTAACCCACGAGAGGCATGACAATTGGAGTGGATAATTGAGGTGGTTTGACAGGTATAGCGAGGTGTGGCTGACTGCACACGAAGTAAATTCTGGCTTCAGCAATTATTAGATACATACTTGTGATATTAAAAGCATGAAGATTTGGCTAGTCAATTCAAATATTAAGTGTCTAGGCTTAAAAATAGTTTATTGGGACACTTTCCATTATAAAAATAACACACGCTCTTTATGAAAATTTGGGAGTACAAATCCCCCACCAATAGTTTCATTAACAAAGGATTAATATTGTTAACATATTCATGTAATGACTCATTCTATTATACCTTATCTACATTCTTACCATATCTTCTGTTACTCTTTTATGCTTAACATTACAACGCAGACATTTTTATATCTTATTATTGACTGTATTTTTAATAGCTGTATAATATGCAATTGAGTTCATGTGTCATAATTTACTGAAGTATTCCCACTATTATGTAGCATATTTTCAAGTTTTCACTATTATAAATAACACTGGAATTATTTCAGTATAAGAATTTTTTGTATTGCATGTAATTTATTCAGATTCCCAGATGTGAAATATCTGAGTTTTTAAATATCTGCTTCATTTGCTACTTTATTCCTAGTACCTAGAACAATGCCTATCACATGGTAGGTATTTTATTAATAATTGTTGAATGAATATGAGATGTTAATTAAGTGGAAAAAAGCTGGCTTGATATGTAGACACCAAAAGCATGTCATAGGCATGTCTTGTGATAGGTTCCAGGGAAGACTTTGTCCCTACTTTTAAAAAAATTAATGAATTTTAATTTTTAGAGCAATTTTAGGTTCACAGCAGAACTAAGCAGAAAGTACAAAGTTCCCATCTATCCCTATCCCCACACACATAACCTCCCTGGCTATCGACATCCTGCACCACAGTGGCACGTATGTTATAACTGATGAACCCATCATTATCACCTAGTCCATAGTTTAGGATTCACTCTTGGGGCTGTGGAATTTATGGGTTGGGACAAATGTATAATGACAGGTATCCACCATTACAGTGTCATACAGAATAGTTTTACTGCTATCAAAATCCTCTGTGCTCTATCATCCCTCCCTTCCCCCAACCCCTGGCAATCACTGATCTTTTTACTGGAGTAAAATTGTTGAACCACATGGTAAGACTATGTTTAGTTTTGTAAGAAACTGCCAAACTGCTTCCCAAAGTGGCTGTACCATTCTGCATTCCCACGTGGCAGCAGAGAAAAAGAATTCCAGTTTCTCCACACCCTTGGCAGCATTTGTTGTTGTCGGTGTATTGTTTTGGCCATCCTAATAGGTATGTAGTAGTATTTTGTTGTTATTTTAATTTGCAATTCCCTAATGACAAATGATGTTGAACACCTTTTCATATGCTTAATTGCCATCTATATATCTCCTTTAGTGAGATATCTGTTGACATTTTTTGCTCATTTTAAAAGTTGGGTTGTTTGTTTCATATTATTCAGTTTTAAGGGTTTGATTTGGGTAACAGTCCTTTATCACATACGTGTTTTGCAAAAATGTTATCAAAGTCTGTGGCTTGTGTTTTCATTCTCTTAATGAGGTATTTTGCAGTGCAGAAGTTTCCAATTTTCATGAAGCCCAACCTATCCATTTTTTATTTTATGGATGATGCTTTTGGTATTCTATTAAAAAGTAACCATCAAATTCAAGGTCATCTAGTTTTTTTCTGTTATATCCTATAGGTTTTATAATTTTGTGTTTTACATTTAGGTCTGTTATCATTTTGAGTTAATTTTTGTGAAGGGTATAGAGTTTGTGTCTACATTTTTTTTTCTTTTTTTTTTTTTTTTTTTTGCTTCCGGATGTCCTGCTATGCCAGCCCCTTTTATTGAAAATATTATCGTTTCTCCTTTGGATTGCCTTTGCACCTTTTTCAAAAGAATTGACTATGTCTGTGTGGTTCTATTTCTGGACTCCTTATTCTGTTCCACTGATCTATTTATTTATTCTTTGGCTTATACCACACTGTCTTGTAGCTTTTTAGTAAGCCTTGAAGTCAGGTAGTATCAAGTCGGTACATTTACTTTTCATGTCTTTTCCCTCTCTTACTGTTCTAATTAAAACTTCCAGTTCAATTTTGAATAGTAGCAGTAATATGTATGAGTTCCACTAGCTTAAAATAAATGCTTGCATTACCCCTTTAAGTATGACGTTTGCTGAAAATGAAAAAATAAATATCATTTTTCTGGTTAAGGCATCCCTTGCTCTTTCTTTTTTTTCTTTTCTTTTTCTTTTTATTTTTTTTCTTTGAGACAGAATCTCACTTTGTCGCCAGGCTGGAGTGCAGTGGCATGATCTTGGCTCACTGCAACCTCCGCCTCCTGGGTTCGAGGGATTCTCCTGCCTCAGCCTCCCAAGTAGCTGGGACTACAGGCATGTGCCACCACACCTGGCTAATTTTTTGTATTTTTAGTAGAGATGGGGTTTCATCGTGTTAGCCAGGATGGTCTCATCTCCTGACCTCTGATCTGCCCACCTCAGCCTCCCAAAGTGCTGGGATTACAGGCATGAGCTACCATGCCCAGATGAAAATTTTCATTTTAACAAGCATTCCAGGTTATTCTAGTGCAGATGGTCCAGGGGTACACACTTTGCAAAAGTAGCTAATCTAAAATACCATGTTCAGCAGGCATCTTTCCATTTTTCAATATTATATACACATTCTGTCTTTGATTCTGATGGACAATGATACATGTGTGCATGAGGCATTTAAAAAAATAGGTTACCCTGTCAGCAACTTAGTAATAAAAATGACTTGAAATACCAAAAATGAGAGCATAGTTTATTGATACTTATAAACTTTTTAATCAATGTAAGTGTTGCAGACTAATTCTTATGATCTGATCATAATTTAGTCACGTGGGACTGAAATCTGCAGTGGCCCAGATTTGCTCCATTTGTGGACTTTCTCCAACAGTACCCCAGAATAGAGGATTCTGGCAAACCTCAGATCGATAAGGAGAAACAGTATGGGACAACGGGTCCAACTGGCCAGAATGGAACTGAGATTACCAGCTATAGAATTTCAACAGGTCCACTTGATGGAAAGAAAGAGACTAACTGGTGTTCTACTTATTTCTGATATGAAATGAAGCTGACGTCTGTGGAGTCTAAATATCAAGGAATGGTAAAATGAAAAGGTTCCTGGTGGGTTATCCATGCCATTACTAAAGTTGTAGCATAATTTTGTAGTAGTTAGAAGTCCAGATTGTGATGTCTACAGCATGTATGAATGAGGTACTGTTAAAGCTGAATGCCAATCTTTATGAGAGAAGTTGAGGGAACATGTACTGCCAAGGATCTGACCTTTACTTCCAGAATAATAATCAGATTGTCAACCTCAAGAGGTAAGGATAGGTCCTAAGAAGGAAGAAATTTCCTTCTGCTGCATTAATGTCATCTTTCATACAAAAATCAATGTGAAGAATTGCCTCCATGTTCAGCCTCAATGATATACAGTATGTGACAATTACTCAAGTGACTGAAATGACTTCCTATACAGACCACAGTGCCACTTTTCTTACATATATGTAAGGGAGCCACCTACTGTCAAAATAGGATCTTACAGCTACAGATTCTCCCATTGCCCCACCCCCCAACTATACAACTGCATAAACTTAGCCGCAATAATTTAAATGAGAATTTTGCAGAATTCAAGAAACTGACATAAAATAATTTTGGGGGTGGGAAGGAACAATCCACACTGCCCTGTGTCCTTTACAAATTGGAAAATATTCATTAAGCAGTTACCTGTTACACATTGCAAGTCTCAAAGAGAATCCTGGTATGCTGGAATTAGTGAGACAGTTTGTAGTAACAAATGCCCCTGCCAATTTCTTTCTTAGTATTTTTGGTAATGCTATTTCTTCCTGAATGTGTCTTTGCCTGTCTCAAGCTTACCTAGCCTGCAAACTCAGCTAAGTCTTACCTCCCCCATGAAGACTCTGCATATCTCCAGCCTGTTGCAGCCTCTCCTGCTTGGATCTCTGTTGCTCTGCTTCATCCCAGAGGCACAATCCTGTGGGCATTTCCTCATACATACACTGCTTTGTGGTGATAGCAATAGCTAGCATTTACCATATGTCGGCACTGTTGGACCACTTTCCTTCTATTAAATCATTTAATTATCATATTAACTCGATGATGTGATTACTTTTATAATCCCCATTTTTTAAAAGAAGAAACTGAGGCCTAGAGAAGTTTAAAAAAACTTGCTCAAGGTCCTTAAGGTTATTAAGCAGTAGTGTCAAAATTTAAACCCATGCATCTGCATTTCCAACTTATTTGTAAGCACTTGGTGGACAAGAACTATGTTCTAAAATTCTTTTGAAGTTCCCACATTGCCTAGCCTAGTGCTGTGATCTTAGGGACTGAAATTCTTAGTTTTATTACAGTTTACTAATTTTCCAGGAAATCAGAAGACCCAAGAAAGAGGATAGTTTTTCCCCCATTAATCAGGCTGATAAAAAACAAGTTTGACAAGATACTACAGCAATAATAGGGAACTTGTATTAACCATGTACTATAAGCCTGGCACTGTGCTAAGCATTTTTATATATTATTTAATTCTTACAATAAACCTTTTCAGAGAGGTACTATTATATATATATATATCTTACGGATGAGAATGC